CCTCACCATTCCAGAATGTATATGAATATGAAGGTTCTAGAATGATGGATAGAAATGAGGATGCATATAAAAGGAGGAGAACACAATATCCTGAGGAGAATTTGAATGGACTTGAAAGTACTTCTTCGTATGATATTAGAAATGGACGTGACCTTGAGGGACCGAGAGCATTAATTGAAGCATATGGAAGTGATAAAGGAAAAGGTTATTTAACTGACAATCCACCACAGGTTGAACATTTTTCTATTTCTGGTATGGACAACAAGGTGACTCCAGTTACTTGGCAGAACACTGAAGAAGAAGAGTTTGATTGGGAAGATATGAGTCCCACATTAGCTGACAGAGGCAGAAGTAATGATGCGTTGAAACCTTCTGTCCCACCTTCAAGATTTAGGACAAGATTAGGATTCGACAGAAGAAATGCTATGTCTATGGAGCTTGGAATGAGAAACAATTGGTCTAGTCAGGTTCAGCTACCTACTTCTATTGACTCCTCCATAGTGATTGAAGATGGGGTCCCATCAACATCTGTATGTTTCCATAACTACAGCCTTCTCATTCACATTATTGTTATCATTTGCTTCTGGTTTTTTTTTTTTTTTTTTTGCTTGGAGTTTACCAAAAGTTATTGTAAAAGCATCTTTGTTCATGTCATGTTTTTTAAGTTCATTATCAAGCATAACACTGAAGTTCGATACTTCTCATTTTTGTGCATAATTCTCGACTTAGTTTAGCTTTGGATCAAAGTAATTAGTATATTTCACGTTTTCAATCTCTCATGGTTTCACTTATTCTATAACATTGGGTTCCTATCATATACGGTAGTAGAATTAACCTGTTAGATCCCATGTGTAAGAGCTTTGTAATTTGTGATACATTACCGTTTTCTTCCACTAGTTTTTTTTTTAATCACCACCATCACTTTTCAGAGGGGTAAGTCCCATATCTGTATTCAGTTTTGAGATCAAGCATTTAGTAATTTTATTCCCCAATAAATTATATGTATCGTTCTGTTGGGTGTGGAGTAGGAACTCTGCATTCCAAAAGTTAATTATAGTAGGGTTTGTTTTCCTATCATCAGGATATTTGGAATATGCACAATCCCCTTTCTCAGTCATCCCAGAACCTCATGAACACTAAAGGAACAGGAAGGAATTTCCAGATGCCCGTGTCGGGAAGAGGCATCGCTTCATCTGGTGGTGAGAATATGGCTCATTTTGTCGATAAGCTTCTGACCAATGGTGCTGTACATAGGTCCCCTACTATTGTTTCAAGCTTGGGTTCTGGTCTCGACTCTAGCATGGAGTCACAATCAGTTGTACAATCTATGGGCCCAAGGCATCCTGTGAATGTTCCTGACTCTTGCCCACCTTCTAGGTCTTCAATATTTCCTGTACCAAGACACCATAAGAGTCAGTTTGAGTCTTTAAACGGTAGCAATTCTGTCATCAATCGTGCAAATAGGTCCTTTTTGCCTGAGCAGCAGATGAATAATTTGAGAAATAAAGAGCCAAGTCTTGCGACTAATTTGCCACAAGTTGGTAATCAACATACTGGGCATATTCCTTTGACTCAGGGAAACCAATTGCAGGCCACCCCTTTAAAACCTAAATTTCTACCATCTCCAGACATGCAGGATAATTTTAGTGCATCAGCAGTACCTCCAGCGTTACCACATTTAATGGCACCATCCTCGAATCAGGGATACAGTTCACAAGGACATCGCCCTGTTGTTAGTGATTGTTTGTCAAGTTCTGCCCCTATTGGGCAATGGAACTTACCTGTTCATAATAGACCCAGCACTTTGCATTTACAAGGGGGGCCGCTGCCATCTCTACCAACTGGTCCTCATCCTATGTCTCAAAATGCAGGATCCCTTGTTCCTGGTCAGCAACCAGGAACTGCATTTTCTGGCCTGATAAATTCTCTTATGGCCCAGGGTTTAATCTCATTGAACAATCAAGCTTCTGTACAGGTATACATTCGAGTAATATCCCGCTTAGTAGGTTCGGTCATTTTTTTTTTCTGTTATATTTTTTTTCCACTAAGAGAGTTAAAATGTTTAGGACTCTGTTGGGTTGGAATTCAATCCAGATCTACTCAAGGTGCGGCATGAATATGCAATAACTTCTCTGTATGCTGATCTTCCTAGACAATGCATGACCTGTGGCCTTCGGTTCAAGTCCCAGGAAGAGCATAGTAATCATATGGATTGGCATGTCACTAGAAATCGTATGTCGAAAAGTAGGAAGCAAAAGCCTTCTCGGAAGTGGTTTGTAAGTACAATCATGTGGCTTAGTGGTGCAGAAGCCTTGGGAACTGAGCCAGTTCCAGGATTTTTGCCTGCTGAGGTCATCGTAGAGAAAAAGGATGATGAAGAACTAGCTGTTCCCGCTGATGAAGATCAAAAAACGTGTGCACTATGTGGAGAATCTTTTGATGATTTTTACAGTGATGAAACAGAGGAATGGATGTATAGGGGTGCTGTCTACATGAACGCGCCCGATGGACAAACAGCAGGCATGGATAAATCTCAGTTAGGGCCCATAGTGCATGCTAAATGCAGGACTGAATCTAGTGCTGTCCCCTCCGAAAATTTGGACCAAGACGAACAAGGGGTATGCTTTATTTCTTTTCTGTTTTTCTCCCCTCAACCAATATGCTTATCTACATGTCATCTGTGCTTTCCTTTTCTTTCCTTTTGTCATTGGAAATATAAAAAAGTTTCACACTGAATTTCTCAAGAAGTGTATATAATAATGTAACTACGAGATAATTATGAAAAGATAGTAATTCACAAGAAGTCTACAATTGTTTTTGGTCTCTAATGTGATGTACCAAGGTGCTTGTTAGCTGCAAGTATTATGTTGTTTTTAAGCTCACATTGTTAATTTTTGACTGCAGGGAGTTAGTGAAGAGGGTAATCGAAGAAAACGATTGCGGAGCTAGCCTTAGATGGATTTCTATACACTCTCGTTGTAGCTTATACAAGTTTTTCCCCATGATCTCTTGTTCTCACAGTAGTGTAGCTAGAATTACTTGGCTAATGCTTGAAAATTGTATATTTAAAATGGAAAATTTCATGAGCAATATATTGCAATCTTAAAGGGGCAACCCCATCTTCTTTGCTGTGAAATGTCCTTCAAGATTTAGATGAAAAATCCTTATTTTAAACAAGGGTCAATAATTGTACGTTCCAAAGAAATTTTCCCATTGAATGGATTCAAGAATCACGATCATTAACTTGTGATTCTTCATATAGATCAATAATTTGAGTTGGGAGTCCTAGCTGCTGCCTGTTACATCTATTATGCTGTTTGACTTGACATCTGCAGGGCAATGAATGGAGCTGTAGCTGTAGCTGCGGCTATCAGATCTTGCTCGATGTCTATTGCCCCCATTCAAATGGAAGCCAAGATTCATGGGATGGACCATGGACGACTCTCTTGTCTCTGTTTTTACCTATTTTGTCTCTGTTTTTCATTGCAACAGTTTATGAACAAGAGTCTATTGAACAGTGTATGCCTTGATATCTTACTTAATGAGCAAATATTGGGAGGACTTGGCTCTGTTTAACGACCGTGTGGATTCAGTTTACTTCTGTTTTATCTTAGCCTTTTCTTTTTATGCTGAAGATCCCAATTTTGGTTTCAGGATAGAAAGGCTTGTGTGAAATCCCAATGGTTGATATCTAATGTTTCCACTGCAGCTGAAGGATCTTAATTTGTTTGTTTATATTAGTTTCCAACAAAATTATTATTTGAATATTATGGACCGGTTTGGGTGTAGTGGGTCGATCTTTTGTTTGTTTATTAGTTTTCAACAAAATTATTATTTCCATGCTTCGGGACATCGACCCTATGAGCCGTATGGCAAATAGTCTAGATCGATTTCCGAAAGGATGGATATATATGTATGTTTTTTGCTAAGATAGAAGAGATCGGACATTCTAGAGAAAAGTAAGTTTTAGAACTACTCACCCAGAATGTGCCATTCTCCGAGTGTATATAAAATTGAAAATTTTAGTATTTATTAGGTCCAATAATTTATTTTTTTAAAAAAATTTCAAATACATTTGACGTAATCAAAACCAATAAAATCTTAAATTTGAATTAAAAAAGCTCTTGATTTAATATATATGGGCCATTTTTTAAGTGTAAAAAAGTCAATGGATAATGTTGCAATTAATACGTAAAATAATTCTCAATTTAAAAGTAAGATTAAAAAATATAAATAAGATTAAAAAGAGACCATGGACCATTTTAAAAAAGCCAATGGATAATGTTGCAATTAATAGGTAAAATAATTCTCAATTTAAATGTTTTATAATTTTAATATATTATTGATATCTTATTATTTCTATACTTAATAATATTGAAAATTAATACTTAGTGACAATTAGTGAGACTAGACGGCAGAGAGAGCATTCTCGATCCCTAAGCTATGATTAAGAAAATTCATTATCTATTTTAAATTGATCTTATTAATAAATTGGAAATTTATTTATTTTTTAATTTTTTTAAACCTAAATCAAATAGACTAGAAATTATATATTGAAGTGGAATAAATAAAACTTAAACTCAAATAAAATTAAGATTCTTGACAATATATAAAAAATTGAAAAAGAAGAAAGAAAAAAATAGTATTACCATCCAATTAAAAATTTATTCTTAAATCATTTTTTATTTAATAATTTTTTTACCCATTAAATATATATCTATAAGTAGTTTATTATATAAACTGAACCCATTCCAACTCATGCAGTACGAACTCTCGATAATAATTTAATAAATAAGGTTGAAAATTATTAGGACTAGTCTCAATAGGAAGATCATGAGTTTATAAATAATGAACACTATCTCTATTGATATAATGAGGACAGAAAAAAAAAAAAAAACAAAGTTATGAAAGTTCATACTCTAGATAGCACCGTACCATTAGGGAGACTCTAATTTCTAACCTATAAGATATCAATTTGTTTAATTCCCAATTAAGAAACACCTTTGTTATCAACTATATGTTTGTTTTTTTTTTTTTTTTTTTTTGGGCTATAAATAGTAATTATTTTAAAATATGTAGTGTTCTTGATAGTGTTAATAATTGAAGACAATGGCGGCGTCTTTGTCACCACGGCCACTGCAGTTGACCACCACCTTGCAGCCGTCGCGCAAAGTGGGGCACAGCTTGTCGAGATAAGCAAAGGCATGAGAAGCTTCCAATGATGGAAAAATGCCTTCCAATTTGCATACTCGTTTGTAAGCTTCCACTGCTTCTTTGTCTATTGCTGTGTGAAATTCAGCTCTGCCACTCTCTTTTAAGAAGCTCAGCTCTGGTCCTACTCCTGGGTATTCCAGTCTGCAATTCAAAAAAACTCGAAATTTAAAATAGTTTGGTGAGGGTTGGTGGGAGAGTAGTCCCATGTCGACTAATTAAGGAATTGATCATGAGTTTATAAGTAAAGAATACATATGCATTGGTAGGAAGCCGTTTGGAGAAACCAAAAGTAGAACCCCGAGAGCTAATGCTCAAAGTAGACAATATCATACAATTATGGAGGTTCTTGATTTCTAACATGGTATTAGATTCATGCCCTTAACTTAACCATGTCAATAGAATCCTCAAATGTCGAATAAAGAACTTGTGACCCTCGAAAGTGTATTCTAAAGTGACTGAAATATCGAATAAAGGGTGTACTTTATTTGAGTGTTTCAGAGAAGGAATCCAGTCTCGATTAGGGGGAGAGGTTGTTCAAGGGCTCTATAGATCTCAGGAGAGATTCTATGGTGTACTTTATTCGAGGGGAAGATTGTTGAGAGAAGAGTCCCACGCTGATTAATTAAGAGATTAATAATGAGTTTATAAATAAGGAATACATCTACATTGATACGATGCATGTTGAGAAAGCTACACCCAAAGAGAACAATGAAAACATTACGGAAGTTTGTGATTTCTAACGTACTTACCCTACACCGACCGAATGAGGGACAAGGATTTGGCCTTCCTCATCTTGCAAAAGGTAACTCAAAGCTCCATGGTAAACTCCAACATGTCCTTTAGACAAAGTAGCTGAGTGCTTTCCACTATCCAACCCAAACCCAGCAGCCTCAACTCCAATCAACCTCACATCTTCTTCTTTGATGAACTCATTGAACAGTCCCAACGCGTTTGAGCCACTCCCTATGCAAGCCACAAGCACGTCTGGTAAGCCTCCCCATTTCTCCATGGCTTGTTTTCTCGTCTCTTTTCCTATCACTGACTGAAACTCCCTCACCATTGCTGGACATGGGTGCGGCCCTACCACTGTCCCCATCAAGTAATAGCTCATTTCCAAGTTCCCGACCCACTCTCTTATCGCCTCCGATGACGCGTCCTTGAAGTTTCCTTCTACAGATTTCACCTAATATAGTATTCAACACGAGATAATAAATGTGTTAGGAATTACGAATCTCCACAATGACATAATATATATTTTTTATTTATAAACTTATAATCGTTTCTTAAATTAGTCAATATGAGACTCTCTCCCGACAAATTAATGGAGTACCTGAGCACCAAGCAGGTTGATTAAGACAACATTTGAGGATTGCTTCTTGATATCTTCAGAGCCCATGAAAATGGTGCACTCTAAATCATGTTTGGCGCAGGCAGCTGCAGTGGCAACACCATGCTGGCCAGCCCCAGTGGCGGCAACCACACGCCTCCGCCCCATGCGCTTCGCAATCATAACCTGCGCTATTGCATTGTTCATTTTGTGTGCACCGCAGTGGTTCAGATCCTCTCTTTTTATGTAAATCTCAGGGCCCTTTCCTTCCTCGTCTTTGTAGTGCCTTGTCAGCCTCTCAGCGTGATACAGCGGCGTCTCTCGTCCAACAAAGTCCCTCAGCGCCACCTCCAGCTCCTCCTGTACAACCACAACACCCGAAATTAATTCATCGAATACTTTGTTAGGAATCAGGACTCTCTATAATGGTATGATATTGAATTCCTCCTCCAATAATCTCTCAACAATCCTCTCCTCGGACAAAGTACCTAAGTTACTTTTGACTACACCTTCAAAGCTCACAATTCTTTGTTCGATATTTGAGGATTCTATTGACATAACATGACTCTGATACTATGTTAAGAATCACGACTCTCCACAATGGTATGATATTCTACACTTTGAACATAAACTCTCATGGCTTTGCTTTGGGCTTCCCCCAAAAGGCCTCATACCAAATGGATATAGTATTCCTCACTCATAAATCCATGATGTTCTATTAAATTAACCAATGTGGGACTCACTCTCAATAATCCTCAACACGTACAAATGAAGATAGTATTCCTTATTTATAAACTCATGATCAACCCCTTAATTAGCCGATATAGAACTCTTCCCCCAACAATCTTCAACATAATTTACGACAAGAACACGTACCTGAAATTTGGAATCATTCAAAACCAAGTTGAACTCGGCTTCCAATTTGGCCAAGCAAGTGATTAGAGATTCGGGCACAAACTTCCCACCAAATTTCCCAAACTTTCCTTCATGAATTGTTTGTTTAGAGTTCTTGTGGTGATCATCAATTACAGGCTGCATCTTTAATGCTGGCGTAGGCTTCTTTGCTGGCGTGAAAGTGGGTGACCCAATTCCGTTGCCAAGCTTTACATGCGACCTGGCTATGCCTCTGGTTGCATCTAATTGGTTAGTGAGAGCAGCAATGTTGTGCACAATATTGGATGCCATTTTTAGGTATGTTCTTCCTTTTGAGTATAAGAAATGAGAGAGAAAGAGGGATTTGAGTGGTTTGTGTTAAGAGAAGCACACAAGGGTTGTTTATATAGAGAGTGAAAGTGGCAGCTGAATTGATTGATCTTATTCCACATGTTTAGCAAGGCAAAATAGAAGGAAAAGTAATAGACGCAACAAATACAAGTTCATCTTACACAATGTTGTTTGAAGAATGTTGTTTGAAGGCGACACTATAATATGACTGATAGCTCGATGAATTAAAGATAAATGGTAAAAATATTTCACTCTTATTAAAAGACAGCTACATCGTGACGTTTTTATTGAATAATTTGTACTCACGTAATAATCCATTATCCTTTGTGTCTTTTCGACGAATGGAAACCGTTAGGAATCATGACTCTCTGCAATAATATGATATTGTCCACTTAAAACGTCTCATACCAATAGAGATTTATTCCTTACTTATAAACACATCGGTCATTCCCTAAATTAACCCATATGGGACTTCCTATCAACCATCCTTAACAGAAATCGGTGAGGGCAAACCGAATCCCTACACACGACTGGGCAACTCCACCTCTCGTTTTAACCGTGTGGGTCAACGTAGAAATTAGGTAAATAATATATAAGGTTTTGGTCCCATGTGTTTAACATGTATGCTCCAAATTAATAAGATATGGAATAAACTGCAAAACATTCTAACAAAATTTAGCATCAAGAAATAAAGACGTGCATAATTGAGCTGGGCTTGTGGGGTAATGCCTTGACAAGACAATCACATGGCTAGTTTTTCAGCCTGTCGAGCCTACGTTTTCATTACTATATTTTTGGAACGACCACGTTTTTCTCGAACGTTTTACAATTTCTCATTTTTTGAAAGAGTTGGTGTATATATTTATAATGTTTTCGAGATTGTGTTAGAAAAAAACTCGGATGATCTAAAAAATTCATCCACTTATCTTAACTCATCTGATTTGGGTTAGATTATGAATTTATTTAATTATTTTTAATGAATGTTTCGGCCGGAAGAGATTACTGTATACATATGGTAATTACCCCATTTCAATAGAAAATTAGAGTCGTTACATGGGTTGTATCTAAAAAAATGCCTCTAACCCAACTCAACTTAATCCATAATTACCCTTAACATATCACAAATCATGCAAGTTAGATGAAGCATTGTGTCATAGGCCTAACCTCTCATCGAAGATTGCACGTTTCAGACTACGAATAGTCTCGACCAATATGACTGGTTGATTGTTAAAATAAAAGTTCGTTAGAGGATTACAAAAGGTGGGTATGAAATAAAATTAGAAGGCTACACCAAAAAGAAAAAGACACCACATGTTGAAGGCATTAAACATGTGGATCTATGCAAAAGTAGTTTTAGCATAACTTTTAAATTAAGAACATGTGGTGATGAGAATGGATAAGGTTGGAAATCGGGCACAAATCTATTTCCATCGTGCCAAGAAAGATGTTAAGGGACACGCTGTCTATTAGATAAAATCTGAGTTTTTTCTTATTTAGATTCACACAATTTCAGAATACCTCCGTTTGACCATTTAACAAAACACGTCGAATGGATCACCAAAGTTTAGACGGCAATTTTGTAGGGACTGACACAAATTTAGTTGGCTACTCTGAATAATTTATATTTAAATAGGAAATCTGTTCTTGAAAGCACTCAAAATTTCAGCCATTCTCTCTCTTTTATTTTAACGCATTTTATTTTTCTTCCAACAACCTCGTGTCTACGATTTCCTCTTACCGAATTTCTCTCGCTGATTTTCGAAAAACAACATTGTCATCTTGTTTGTTTGCTTTTGAGTGAGTGGTGAGGAACATATCATCAATGACGTACAAAAATACTTTCTTTCATGTTTGGAATAAAAGTCTATGGTAATATATAAACTACTGTCCTGGGTAAAATCTGACACAAATGGGTAAAAGATTGTTAACTTTTATAAAGAATGTTTCGTTCTCCTCTCCGATCGATACAAGATCTCGCAATCCACTCCTTTGGGTGTTAGGGAGAACGCTCCCCTCTCCAACTGATATGAGATCTCACAATCTACCCCTTGAGGGTTCACCGTCCTCGTTGGCACACCACCCGATGTTTGGCATTTATACCATTTGTAATAGCCCAACCCACTTGTTCTCTTTGACCTGTTACGTATCAACGTTAGCCTCACGATTTTAAAGTATATGTTATGGAGAGGTTTTCACATCTTTATAAGAAATGTTTTGTTCCTCTTTCCAACTGAGGTGTGATTTGACAAATAAATAGGTTCATCTGGCAGCCAGATGACAACAGAGCAACGTAATTTGGATCTCTGTTGCTCAACACCATGTTCATAGCGATGGTGTAGCCATCAGTGATGTTGCTGCAACTTTGTTGTTGTATCAGCATGTTGCTTCCACTTGAATTCAAACGCTCTCAAATGGCAGGGGAGGCTTGAGTGATCGAAACGCTGAGAGCTCCTAATATCAATATCTCATTCTTAGGGATGCGATATGAAATTTAGTACGGAGCAAGGAGAATGTACATTAGTTCTTCCAACATGTTTTGTTCTCACTCACATGTATAGGAAAATTTCCAAGAAATCACATAACATAGAATTGCTTCAAAGAAAACATGTTTAACTATAGAGTTCATGTGATTGAGCCACTAAAGTCGCTAACGTATGCATGACATAACTTCTTATGTGAAAATATTCATTAAAATGTCTTCATAAAACAAATTTATGGACTTACATTTTTAAGAAAAGACCTTAAAACCGTACGACGAAAATATTAAAAATAAATATAAGTAATGTCAAACATAGTAATGCCTTATGCTAACCTATGATCTACTAAATTAAATACAATTACCTTATGCATATGTTTTGGTCTTTGTCGTGATGTCGCTATCAACCGTACATGATTGTTTTGCCTTTACTTGAAATATAAAAGTAGCAGATGGTTTGACTATTTTAAAAAACATTCAATAAATGACCCTATTATTGGAGTCAGGGAATGCAAAAACATGGAATCATGATTAGTGACATATTATTTAAAACCATCACAGAGGTGGCCACCAGTCTGGAAAAATTGGATGTGTAGTACTTTCCTAAACACAGCTCGCACGTGCGAGCCGTGAGTCCACCAGGTGGTTCGCAATCATAATCGAGCTAGTTGGCTTTAGTTGAACGTCTAAAGGTACAACAAACCCTCGAATATCATATAAGGCATGATCATTATCATCATCATCATCATCATAATGCACGCGTCGTACTCATTATCATAAAATGAGAAGTAACCCGATGTAAATGAACATACAATATGCTATGTAATACAACCCCATACATCTTTCACGTGTTACTCTAAATAACATGCATACGTAAGTCTTTCATACATTCATCATTAATAATATCATTTAGGAATGTGTATCAGAAAACTTTTCTATCATAATGCTCAGTCACATTATAGCACTTCTCAATCTTGACTCTCACGTAGTCAAATGGGCAGCACTTGAAGGTTGCCCCTTGTCTATCTTGACGTGTGGGGGTCACTGCTTAGAACATTTTTACTAACATATATTTAACCTTATTGTTAAGGAGATTAACATACCAGGGAGGGGCTGCCTGGGTCATCGAGGCTCTTTCGAGCCATGACTCGAACGTCGTCGGAGCCAATGGCCGATAACAATGTCCAGATGTGAGCAGAAGAAGCGCCAACCCCGGTGCAGAAGCTGGTTACCATCCTCTCCAAACTGAGATGAAGAGAAAGATGTTAAGAGAAGAAGAGAAGACGGTGCCTACAAAACGCTCATCAATTACAATCCGCAGCTTTGGCGTTCAAATTGTAAGCCCACCTACCCCAATTTGTATAACACTCTCATTTGTGACTCTAAATCTCGACCATGTGTGATTTGCCGATCTTTACTGTCTCAAAAGTTTCATTAATACCTTTAAATATTTTTTAAAAACTTCAAAAATACTAAACTATTAATCGTTTCAAAAAAATTTCATGAACTCTCTAAAATGACATTAAAACGTTTGTAGATAATATATGATTTATAGATTTACTTCCATTTCTGGCTTGCCTTTTTTACCCAACATAGATATTTCATCAAGATCATTCTTTTTATACATCGAGACTTCCTTCGCGGGGACGAAAAGTAGCTGATTTACACTCGAGTCGAAAAAAATTACACCACTCCTGATATGATTAAAAAAAGATACTGCTATCACAATCTTTTCTCTATGCATATAGACTCGTTGTTCTATTCCTTGGCACGAGTACGAGAGTTATGATGAGAGTTCTAAGCTCGCAAAGTCGGTATCATCTTGATTTCACTGAAGGGCGATGGCTTCATCTTTGATGCTCGTGATGATTTTGAGGACGACGATGATTTTGGAGAGAAGTTTCTGCTTTTTTTCTTTGGTTTTGTTGGAAGGTCGGGAATTTCTGTCCGTGGAAGCTCACCGAAGAAGTCGGATGATTGTTGGCGTAACATTGCTTGATCAAAATCTGTTAGCAGATACACAAGTTTAAGAATCCTTGATAAGCAATGATGTCCAGAACATGATGTAGACACACCATAGAAATCAAACAATCACAGACCATGTGCAACTACCATCAATTGTTCACAGAAAGTTATAAACTGCGTGTCAACATCGAGCAAGGAGACCCAAAAAAAAGAAGAAAAGGTCTAAGTGTAATAGCCCAAACACACTACTAGTAGATATTGTCCGTTTTAGCCCGTTACGTATCACCATCAGCCTTATGATTTTAAAATGTGTCTACTAGGGAGAGGTTTCCACACCCTTATAAGGAATGTTTCGTTCCCCTGTTCAACCAATGAGGGATCTCACAATCCACCCCCCTTGGTCTGATGTCTAGCTCTGATACCATTTGTAACGGCCCAAGTCCACCACTAGTAGATATTATCCACTTTGGTCCATTACATATCGACATCAACTTCACGGTTTTAAAATGTGTCTACTAGAGAGAGGTTTCCACACCCTTATAAGGAATGTTTCATTCCCCTGTCCAACCAATGTGGGATCTCACAAACCACCTCACTTGAGGTCCAGCATCCTCGCTGGACGCTGACATACTGCCCAGTGTCCGACTCTAATACTATTTGTAACAGCCCAAGCATACATCCAATAGATATTGTCCGCTTTGGCCCGTTATGTATCACCGTACAATCTCACGATTTTAAAATGCATCTACTAGGGAGAGGTTTCCACACTCTTATAAAGAATGTTTCGTTTCTCTCTTCAACCAATGTGGAATCTCAAGAACTGGGATGACAAACTATTGAAATTTAGCATTTAGTTCAATCATTCAACAAAAATCCAAGAACTACGAGAACGACGCCTAACAAACGTAGAAAATCAAATGTACAAAGTGAAACATAATACTGCCATCTCAACCAGAACCATTTTCTGATGTAGTAGGCTGCTAACTTCAGATTTAGACTACGATTTCGAGCTTAACTGAATAAAATCAACGAGTAAATCGGTATATCATCATGGTTAAGTGAATTCAACCATTTTCGATAGAACAGATCGATGACATCTTATTTTTCAAATGGCTTTCGATATAAGCAATCAATCTGGTGATGGACCACACATATAATAAAATATCACAACTTTGTTCCTTTCTAAGAGTAGTGGTCTCGTGACACAAAAGCCAAAACCTCTCTATTGAGGTAAAGAATCTTCTAAATCTGTTCATATCATAGAGGTTAACCCGTGAGAAGCCCCTGTTGTTTTCACATCTCCACCACATGTTCTTAGTTCCATTTCTAATCCTGAATTTGTTGTTCTTATTGCAAAAATAAGTCATCCTATTAAGAAAAAGAAGCTAAAATGGAGGGTAGCAAAAAGTACCAATAGAAGACCATGTTGTAGGAGCTGTTACAGCAGTAGAACTTGAATCTCTTCTATCACTGATATCGCCGAACGCCGCCACGGCCGCCGCCGAGAAATGCTCCGGTGCTGATTTGAACTCATTCATCTAACAAAGCAGGGAAAATTTTAGAAACCCAGATGATAAAATTGTGAAAAGAAGCAAGAATCACTCCAAAACTGAATAGAAAGTGAAAAAAAAATTGACCATACCCAACTGGGAGCTGTGGCAGAAGGGCCATCCCATCCAATATGTGCAACATGCTTCACATCCGTTGGGTATCCAATCTCCATCTCTCGCTCTTTCATCACTAACACAGTCCCAACGTTTTCACATCAGTCCCAAAAATCAAGAACCAAATGAAAAGTTAAGAAACAAGAAATAGAAGCATTACCGAAGATTTGGGAAATGTACTTGAAACTTTTGTAGATCCCTTTCAATTTGTTTGACATGGTTTGAAAATCAAGAGCCCTACACAACAGCTGAGACAACCAACCCCCCTTCAAACAATAAGATTGGGAACCGACAAACAAAAAAACCTCCCAATAAGTTGGGAATCAATGGTCTTTTCCTTTGAATCCTGCCAGAAAAGTAGACATTCTCAGCTCAGACGAGCTTTGCGTGTATTTTTTATGCATATTAAGATCAAACAATGCTTAGAGTATCAGAGAAGGCTGATTGCATGTGATTTAGAACCAACTTTTTCCCACTCTTTTTCCGGTGGATGAAGAATGGTATCTAATAATGACGAAAACATGATTTACAGATGACATTAAAGGGTTCGAAGATCAAAACCCATATTACTTTCCGTTCATACAAAGTTCAAACAAACATAGAAAACTAAACAGAAAAGCGAGTAAAAGCCAAATTTAAAGGATACGATACCTAAAGACGGTGCTTAAAGTGGCAGAAAGAAGGGGGGGTTGGATTCAGCAATCTGTTCTTCCTCTGCTTCTGCACTTGGATTCGATTCCTTCAAATGGATGATGAACGATCCAAAGCATTCATTTGGGGGTTCAAAAAGGTTAAAAGTGAAAACCCATTAAGGAAAAACAGCTAAGAACAAAGGGAGCAATGAAAAGAAATGATTAAAATCCAAAAGAGTGAGGAACAGATTGATTATAGTGAGAGACGTCGGAGGAGAGAGGGTAAATTGAGAATGAAAGGCTTCCAAAATGAAGGGTAATTGAAAGACAGGACAAGGAACCAAGCCTACACAAAATACCAACAAAATCAAATTTTTTTTTTTTCAATTTTGTGGGGTTGAGTTTTGGTGAAGTGAAATTGGTTCAGAGCTGCTTTTAATGCTTAGATTTAGGTGATGGTAGTTGGAGGAACGTCTTGGCCTTTGCTTCACACAATGCTCTCTTGATTTCAAACAAACCCATTTCCTCTCATGTACTTTCTTTTCTGTACGTATGTCGAGTAAGGAATAGAGGGTGAGATCCCACAATAGTTGGTGAAGAGAACGAAGATTTAATATCGAGTAAGGAATAGAGTGTGAGATCCCACAATAGTTGGTGAAGAGAACGAAGCATTTTTTATAAGGGTGTGGAAGCTTCTTTCTAATAGACGTGTTTTAAAACTAGATTGACGGCGATATATAACGAGTCAAGGCGGACAATATCTTCTAAAAATGGGTTTGGGCTGTTACAAATGGTATCAGAGTTAGGTTATCGAACGGTGTGCTAGCGAGGACGCTAGGCAAATCTCTTCCTACTAGATGCATTTTAAAATCATGAGGATGACGACAATACCTAACGGGTTAGAGTAGACAATATCTACTAGCAATGAGCATAGATGCGTTTTAAAACCTTAAGAATGACAACAATACCTAACAGATTAAAGCGAATAGTATCTACGAGTAGTGAGCTTATGCTGATATAGAGAGACTCGAGTATAGTTTTGTAGGTAAGAAATCAATTAGTATCTCAAATTGATCTTGCACTCTTATTGTTGTTGAACTTAAAAAACATGATCTATGCGTCTCAAACAACTATCCTTTTTAACCATTTGTGATGTTTTATGCGAGAGATCGAACCATGCAAGTCCACTAATGTCCCTGGCCCAAACACAATAAACCGAGATTCAAATAAATGACTGTATTTCTATTAGGAGTGTTCATGGGCTGGATCAACTCAGTTGAGTTATTCCTTTTAGATCCAACTCAATTGTTTATGTTGATTTGGTTCAAACCAATCTAGTTTAGGAAACCCATGAATATAGTCAAGTTGCATATCGACATTCTCGACATATCAGCAAAGTTAAAATGGCAATTGTTGAGAGACTTGCAAAGATGTGGTCAAGGACTAAAATTTGCTGGCACTCGAAAGTGAACAGACAAGTCGGTACAAACAAGAAACAGAGGATCATCTATTATTGTTAAAAACCACGATTCTCATGATGATATGATATTGTTCACTTTCAGCATCTGCCTTCATGATCTTACTTCTGATTTTCCCAAAAAGCTTAATACCAATGAAGATATGTATTCCTTACTTGATTAGTCGACGTGAAACTTCCTCCCAACAATCCTCGATCCTGGATGATGTTCCACAAACTCCTTCCTATATCAGCCTCTCATCTTCTTCCATCTCTATATCTACTTGTGTAAGCTAACGCAGAGTGGAATCAATGCATGCAGGAGTGAGGTAGTGGCATGCCCCTTCACATCCGCTTCACAAATGAAAAGAGAAGAAGGGTCAGCAATGAAATAGGGAAAATCGAAGCCGCTGTATCTGTACGCAGAGAGAGGAATAAAGGAGACAGTACAAAAGTATCAAAATAAACACCATCACCTTTCCAACCATTTCAGCTCTGCAATTTTATTCTGAACCACTTTTGACTTCATATACCTATACCTAATTCAATACAACCATCAATATCATACTTCAAATTCATTTTGAATGATCAATACACAAATATTATACTCCAAATGAGTACGGGTCGATTATCAATGGCTCAAAATCTTCCTCAAATTCTTGAACAGCTTTGATCTGTCAAAGAGAACAAAAGGAATAAGGTAAATATTACTAAAATCCAAAAAGGAAGTGAAAAAGAGATGCAGAGTACCCCAAATGGGTGGCATCCTGGCGGCACCCTCTCTGTTCCCTGTGCTTTATTTTACTCAGCTGCTTTGCTTCCTCTGAATTCCATTGATACCCATGTCGGCTTTGCTTCTGCCTCCTTATGCTGTAATCTTCTTTGGGCATTTTCGTCAAATAACTGTTTACTCAGAGCAACCAAAGTTCAATGGACCAACAGTGGCAACCCGTTTTTAACATGTTCGCTTGAAATTGCAAGTGAAATACGCTCTTAACTTTTAACCAGAATGAAAAGTCGACTTTAGCAAAAGGAGGGTGTGGGCTCACTAACTTCCTATTCTTTTTCTTTCCACTTGACAGAATCGATTCCGTGATTTAGTAGCAGATAAAAGCACTTAATAGTTGAACTCAGAGTCAAAGATTTAGAGCTACTTTGTCCCTACATTATTCATAATTCAACTCAAGTCCACCGCTATCAGATGTTGCATAATTCAACTCAAGTTCACCACTATCAGATATTGTCTGCTGCTTAGCGATAAACACGTTATCGCTGTCATCACATTTTAAAATGTATCGGTTAAGAAGAGTGTGAGGTTCCACACTCTCATAGTAAATGTTTCATTCTTCTCTCTAACAAAGTAGGATCTCACAAGAGATACGTCACAAGAGATATACAAGCCTTTCCATTTAACCGTTAAACTACTAGTTCTCCTCTCAAACTGAATGAAATTTTGCCAAACCATCCTAGTGGTGTCCATTTCTGACTGTTAAACTGCCAAGCGGTGACAATACTCCCGATACACTGAAGTTAAAGCCACTATTGTTTGGTTCCAAGAAGTGAAGTCCTTCACTTAGAAATTCTGACAAAATCAAGTAGAGCAAATAATATGTTGTCTTCTAAGTTACGTATCCGAGGAACCCCATAAATCTACCCACTTCCCCAATATGTAGATGAATGGGTTTTCCCCAAAACACATTCTTGTTTTAACAGATGCACTCTTGGCTGCCGAAATCAACTTTTTGCAGATACGTTCAAAATGGCTAGCACTGATGATAATTTAATCTGTAGCCAAGACTGAAGGACTTTTGGAGATAGGCACAGAGAACGGGGATGGACCTGGGGGAGATGAACTAGATTTCGGGTTCTTGGGGGGGGGGGGGGGGGGGGGGGGGGGGGGGGGGGGGGGGGGGGGGGGGGGGGGGGGGGGGGGGGGGGGGGGGGGGGGGGGGGGGGGGGGGGGGGGGGGGGGGGGGGGGGGGGGGGGGGGGGGGGGGGGGGGGGGGGGGGGGGGGGAAGGAGAGGGCAGCCATATCTGATTCAGATCTCATTCGACTCCACTCAAGAGTAACTTACCTATTCAATTCTCTGAACGACCAGGGGTTTGTGTTCATCCTATCATGACTAAAGAATTATCCAAAAAGGACATAACTTCAACCATGATTAGTCATCATCATCCCCAATGACAACAAGAATCTGGATAAGAGAAGTCTGGACACAATTCTTAAACAAGAAACGAAATTTTTATTTGAAATATGACACATCTAATATTAGTATTCTCCCCATACTGTAACCATCAGGGAGCATTTAAAAACATAACACCAGAAGTAGAGAACAGAAGAAAATAACAAATGGCCGCAACAAGGCCACCCCACCACGCATGCAGAGCTAATCCATTTTCAGAAGAACAATTTAGAAACCACCACGGAGACGAAGGACAAGGAGAAGGGTGGACTCCTTCTGGATGTTGTAATCAGCCAGAGTCCTGCCATCCTCCAGCTGCTAAACAGCAAAGATCAACCTCTGCTGGTCTGGAGGAATTCCCTCCTTGTCCTGGATTTTCGCCTTCACATTGTCAATTGTGTCGGAGCTCTCCACCTCCAAAAGTGATGGTCTTCACAAAGATCTGCATACCTCCCCTCAAACGAAGGACAAGGTGAAGGGTGGACTCCTTCTGGATGTTATAATCAGCTAGAGTCCTTCCATCCTCGAGTTGTTTTCCAGCAAAAATCAACCTCTGCTGGTCTGGGGGGATGCCCTCCTTGTCTTGAATTTTGGCCTTCACGTTGTCAATGGTATCAGAGCTCTCGACCTCCAGGGTGATGGTCTTCCCAGTCAAAGTCTTCACGAAGATCTGCATACCACCACGGAGACGCAAGACAAGATGGAGAGTCGACTCCTTCTGAATGTTGTAGTCAGCAAGAGTTCGGCCATCCTCCAATTGTTTCCCAGCGAAGATCAGCCTCTGTTGATCTGGAGGGATACCTTCCTTGTCCTGAATCTTGGCCTTCACATTGTCGATGGTGTCTGAAGACTCAACCTCCAGAGTGATGGTCTTACCGGTGAGAGTTTTGACAAAAATCTGCATTCCACCACGGAGACGGAGGACAAGATGAAGAGTGGATTCCTTCTGGATGTTGTAGTCAGCAAGGGTTCGCCCATCTTCCAACTGCTTTCCAGCGAAAATCAACCTCTGCTGGTCTGGAGGGATACCTTCCTTGTCCTGGATCTTGGCCTTAACGTTATCGATAGTGTCAGAAGACTCCACCTCGAGGGTGATGGTCTTTCCTGTAAGGGTCTTGACGAAGATTTGCATGCCACCACGGAGCCGAAGCACGAGGTGGAGAGTTGATTCCTTCTGGATGTTGTAGTCGGCAAGAGTTCGGCCGTCCTCAAGTTGTTTCCCGGCGAAGATCAAACGTTGCTGGTCCGGAGGGATTCCTTCTTTGTCCTGAATCTTGGCCTTGACGTTGTCGATGGTGTCGGAAGACTCCACCTCGAGGGTGATGGTCTTTCCTGTAAGGGTCTTGACGAAGATTTGCATGCCACCACGGAGCCGAAGCACGAGGTGGAGAGTTGATTCCTTCTGGATGTTGTAGTCGGCAAGAGTTCGGCCGTCCTCAAGTTGTTTCCCGGCGAAGATCAAACGTTGCTGATCCGGAGGGATTCCTTCTTTGTCCTGAATCTTGGCCTTGACGTTGTCGATGGTGTCGGAAGACTCCACCTCGAGGGTGATTGTCTTTCCTGTAAGCGTCTTGACGAAGATTTGCATGCCACCACGCAGCCGAAGCACGAGGTGGAGAGTCGATTCCTTTTGGATATTGTAGTCGGCAAGAGTTCGGCCATCCTCAAGTTGTTTCCCGGCGAAGATCAAACGTTGCTGATCCGGAGGGATACCTTCCTTATCCTGGATTTTGGCCTTAACGTTGTCGATGGTGTCGGAAGACTCCACCTCAAGGGTGATGGTCTTGCCTGTGAGTGTCTTGACGAAGATTTGCATCTATACAGAACGAAACACACAGAAATCAGGACAATTTCTAAACAAAACGATAACACGAACAAGTCAAAAACCTAAATTCTAAATTTCACTTCGATAAAATCAGTAAAATCCCAATGTTTCAAGCCAATCTCTCACAAAACACACTACAAACCGAATACATATCATAAAACTTCAAACGATCGAAGCGGATCCAACCACAAAGCATCAGATCTCCCAGAAGAATAAACGATTCAAAATTTTCCACAACAAAAGGGGAAAAAGAAAACACCGATCCAGAACTCTACAAATTCCATCTTACGAAACAGATGAACAGAATCAAAGCGAAAAAGAAAAGGCGGAACTATACCTTGAAGAATTCGCTGTAGATTGATCGATGAAAGAAGAGAGATTCAATTGCGGAGAAACCCAAGCCGGGAGGGTGAATTTATAGGAAATTACAAGGAGAATTAGGTCATGGCAGGCGATGAATTATCCACACATTTCCGCCACGTAAGCATTTATTATCTGTCATTCGCCGTTACTTGCAGGCGAAGGCAGAAATGGAATCTGTGGACCAAAATCCAAAGCAATAAGCCGACTCAATAATAGCACGCAAAACAACAACTAACGTCGTTATAACGGAGTTAGGTTCTAGTGGTTCTCAAGAAAATTCTAGACGTTGCGCGTCTTTGCGTTGAATCTACTATTTCTTCTCTCTAGATGGGCTGTGACCCCACTCTCAAGATAGACTTGGGGAGACTTTTAAATTATGTTTCCGGGGCCCATACGTGTTGTGATGCGAAAAGAGGACGATGCATCATCTAACACACTTAGAATATACATTAAAGTCAAATTGAAAAATTAAGAAGGTCGGAAAGAACCACGAGCGTCGAAGACAATCTCGAAAGAGGATATAGTAGATCCCTGAGTCATAACTTCAGAAGTCGAGATTTCTATATGAGTTTCAGGAGGCAGTTCTAGAGTTAAGTTCATTTATATAAAAGATGAAAATCATCAAAAATTGTGTCAATTGGATGCCTACAACGCTTGGTAGTATAAATATGAGATGAGTACTTGTCAAAATAACGTCTACTTCAGAAAGATTAGAAATGACTCAAAATATACTATAGGAGAGGCATGGTATTAGCTCTCTTCTTCTCCGGGGCCATGTGGCCTAAGCAGGTTACCCTGTGGCACATACGTGTGTCGCAGAGTGGACGAGTGTCTTGGGCAACTTTCTTTGAAATGGGTCTTTCAAAAATAGTTTTGGATGGCCTTGATAAGTATGAATGACATGATTAATGGATGTTTGGGATGTCACAATGAAATGAATGACACATGGATTGATCTTGATAGACATGTTCAAGTAAGTCAAGATGGTCGACCTGTCCTAAGACATGGAATGACATCTTGATGCATGAGTTATGTTGTTGGGAACCAAGATGATGACCGAAATGCAACTACCTTAGCCTAGAGTAGATGCAAGGTCGAATTAAATGACTTAAACTACTATAGAGTGAAGTCGACTAGAGTCGTAGACGACTGAACATACACACATGGGCGCTGTTTGTGGGTGAACAAACTTGTAGTTCGTATGAGTTGCGTTCGATTGGTCACCCGAGGTCCGACGAAGCTACAAAGAGAGGCAAAAACGGTTAGCGTTTATTATTGTTCAATGTATTTAGACAGGTTTTTATTTTATTCCATATAATTTTATTTTACTTTTTCTTTTAAGTTCAACTACTCAATTTGAGATATTTTAATTTAGTATTTATATTTTAAATTTTTTTTTTCTAGGCATGCTTCATTCAGTTATGTTTATTTTTATTTTCTAATACTATGGGAATATTTTGACTTTTAAAAAAAATTATTTTAGTCGAGTTCATTAACTTTTTAATTAAATATTTATTATTTAGTTAAATTTCCTAATTATTTATGACACAACGAAAGTGATCGTGTATATATGTACAATGAAATGGTTTATATTTTGGACTCTATATTTTTATATTTATATCTCTTAATCTGTAAATACACAAATTATTTATTTTAGTTTTGAAATTTTTTTCTAAAAGATACTTTTTAGGGAAAAATAATAATTTTTATAACTACAACTTTCCCGATCCTTAAAAAAAAATAATAATAAATAAATCAATAAATAAAATCAATTTTTACATGTCATCTATTTTCTATTAAATATGATATGAAAATTAAAGGGTTGAACTAGAAGTAAGCCAAACCCTAGAATTTTATTCTAGTCACGATTTACTATTCAAAGTCTAACGTCGTTCTAAACACCGTTCAACTGCTTAACACCCAATATTCCCACGTAAAAGTTAGAGATACAAATCTTCATATGAACTAAAAAAATGAAAATATATTATTTGACGTCGAACTAATCTGAGAGAGGGTGTGTGTTTAAGGAAAATAAATTATCAGCCGTGGATGTTCAGCCCATAAAATAAGAAAATGCATACAGAACTTTCAATGCAGAGTAGTAACTTTAAAACAAAAGGTGGTTCCTGGTTGATATCCAGAGACATACGATTGATCCATATTTAAAAGAAAGTATTTGCGCAGGGGTCAATCCAAAATTTTGTATTTTTCAGACAATCACAGTGAGGAGGCTCAACTGGTATTAAATAGTCTCATCAGCTTATAAGGCAGTAATTTGATCGCTATGGTATGGTTTGCTGTAAAATCTAACTAATTGGCTAGCATGCATGGTAAAACAAGGTGAATGAACTCTTTTGGTTGAATTGAGTTTTACCAAAAAATGTTGCAGGGTTGTGGGGCAATCCTTATAGGACCTATCTCCGGCGTTTCGATTCTTTTCGAATTTCCGACATGTAGCTCTCCAAGTTGGATTTCTTCCATAAACATCGCCGGATGAGGTCTTCTTTTGTTGATTCATCTGATTTGCAGAATTCAAGCAAGAATAGATTAGGCATTCTGGAAGGTTGAGAGAGCAAGAAACAAAATGGCTAACCATTCCTTTGAACAAATATGGGAATTCTACCATCGTTAATGTGGAACTTCATAGATGTTTATGCGTAACAAAGGGATTGAGCAGTGAAGGGTGAAGGAAACGAATAATGGGATAAATAAAGAGTTAATTGCTCACCGCTGTTTTTCCAGGCATCAATAGGGATTCTAAGTGATCTTTGCGTCAGGTAAGCCGCATCTTCCCAAGAGTAAGGTATTTTTTTAACCTTGTATCTCCAAAACCAACAACCAGTCCACAATGATAACTGGATCAAGGAAAAAAGAGTTAATCCCCACTCGGTATATGAGCTAAATGAATAAAGCCCCGCTCGGTATACGAGATAAATGGATAAAGCCCCGCTCGGTAAGCACAAAAAGGTTTCCTTAAAAATTTCCAAAACTTGCAAGCACAAAACCTAACCTTGCCAATGGTGTAAGGTAGAAGAATGAAACGAATCGCAAGTATTTCCCATATAGATGGTTTCTCTGCTCCTTTTATTTGCAATTCCAGTTCTTTGCCAAGATCTTCATCCACTTTTCTGACACAGACAAAAAATAAAATAAAGATATGTTAGATTGAGAATCCAATATGAGAAATAATGGAAAGAACACAGACAATAAACAGTTGATAATAGATCCTTACAAATTCAAAATTTGTAAATTTAGGTTATATTACAAGTGTAGTCGCGCTAAGACTTGAAAATTGTATCTATTTGGTCCCTGAACTTTTAAAAGTGTCTAATAGTCTCTAAACTTACAATTTTGTGTTTAATAGTTCCTTGACAAATTCAAAATTTGTAAAAGTTAATTGATCGACTAAACACAAGCCTCGAAGTTCAAAGACTAATTTTGTAATTTAACGATAAATTTATGTGTAATAACAGGATTGGGAAATCTGAACAGAAGAACAATAATTCTAGTAATTAACCAACAACTCCTTACTTATCCAACTGCTTGTGACCTTTCTTCTTGTTTGTTGCTCCTCCACTTCGTTCAAGTTCAAGAGCCCGTAATTTATTTTTGTAAGCAGGGGTTTTCTTGACCATGTCAATAGCCTATAGCATGAAGTAAATGATTCAGTAGAATGAAATCTACATCTATCTGCAGATTTGGATAACAAAATGTGAACCTTAATATACAAATTTCTCAAATTGAAAAATATTTGGACAAAAATGCCCTTGTCATATGACTCAAAAATAGAACAGCCTGAGAATCAATAGCAAATGCTTCACTTTCAGACAGAACCAGGAATGATATCAGCATCTAAAATTCATGTCTTCTGAAAATTTTAATCAGACCATCCATCAAACAATTTAACCTATCATCATACTTTTTCAAGGTCAAATAACTTAAGAGGTACTAGTACCTGATGATATCTTGTCCACTGATTCAAATACTGAAATCCAGATAAAATCAGGAGAAGGCCAACCAGCACAGCACGGGCATCCTAAAATGAGAGGAGAAAATCAATAAATAACTACTGATTCAAATACTTAACCTAGTTATAAACCACATATTATGTATAATGAGACAAGTAAAAAAGTTCTTACCGTCTTATGACCATAATACGCATGATAGTACCGAGCTGTGTTGTAAAATACCTAAAAAATGAAGACATCACAGTTTAGTCAATTAAAACACAGCCACCGTCCATCGTCTAATTGGTAAAATAATGACACAATCATTATTTGTTCTTTGCTTGAGTTTCTGATTTTCTATTGAAAACAAGATGGTACAGCCGCATTTGTTAAAGTCATCAATAACCCAATCTTTATTTGCAACAGCAGCCCAAAGACAAACATTTTCAAAACAAAGATGTCATCCATCCTAAAGGAGAACTTTTGGCAGTCCATCACTGCTGCAAATTTAACATTGTTTTAGGTCTCTTTATGGGACGATTTTCATAAAAAGTGGACTGTTTCTATAAATCTAGGTTAAAAGAGAAGATCTGCAGTTCATTTATAAAACTGTCAAACAATCTATTTGTAATCCTCATATAATTATCTTGTTCATTTTTCAGCATTATCTTCCTAATATTCAAATGGCAAACGTTTGACTTAACATTTTTGTTTCAACCAGCCTCCGGGCGACCGAATTGTACTAGGAAATGCAATTCAATCCCTTTACACCAGTTAAATAGGTATCACATTAGAAGCTTAACAAAGCAAATTAGAAGCGCACTGCCACTTCCAGTGGAAGCCTAAGCCAGATAAAAAAAACCCACAAAACCAACTATAATGGCAATGGCAGGGTATATAATCATAGGTCTTAACCGGCATTTAGTTTCATAAGATATGAAAAGATTGATAGTGAAACCAATATTATAAAGCAAAGGCAATGGACTACCTCTTCCGGATGAGCGATTGCATAATCATATTGCTCTCTCGTCGATTCATCTTTCAAAATCTGCAATTCATAGATAAGTTCACATATTAAGGAATGAAACAACAATAAGTAATAACAAATGCATGGCTAAGAAAACAGCATCGAGAAACTTGATGTTTTTGTACCTCGTAAGCATTAGCAATCTTAACAAATTGCTTCTTCGATTCCGGATCCGGGTTCTTATCTGGATGGCTTCATCGAACACCAAAAATAGAAATTAAAATGGAGTGACAATGAATCACAATAAAAAAAAAAACAAAAAATGGAATAGAAGAAGATAAAATACAGACTGTTTCAATGACAGTTTGTAGTAAGCTTTCTTGATCTCCGATTGGGTAGCACTCTGCGATACTCTGATAAAACCAGTAGAAAATCGAATTGATTAGAAAAACCAAAATTAGGTATTGTCGCAACAACAATCAAAATGAACCCCAACATACCCGAGGAGATCGTAACAATCGTCTTCGTCGCAGTAGATGGCCATCGACGGTGAGATCAACAGCAATATCACCATAATTGATACGATTGCGCGCCACCGTGTCGTTGCCGGTGGCGCCATAATCTCCAGCCGTCTAAGCTGCAAGTTTCGATTGCAATTCCGCTCCGAATTCGAGCTAGGGATTTGGCGCAATTGAAATTGTCGAGTTTCCGTTGAAAATTACAGAATGAGCTTCCTGTTACAGAAAAGAAATGTCAACTGATCTGTGATAGAAGATGATTCAAGCATTAAATTTCAGATCGAGGGACAAAGGCTGGCGCAAATTTGCTCATCGCAACGGGAGGTCCGTTGGATTGGAACCCATCGTTTTGAACCGTCCGATTTGCATACTTTTCCATTCATTATTATATCTGGTCTCCTGTATGGCTGGGGAAAATAGGATCTAAGAAGACATTCCACGCACCATGCCCAAAATTAGGGTTTGGAACATTTATTAATATCATTTAATTAGATTAAATATTTTTTACTTTTAATTTAATTTCTCTTAATTCATCCACCATTCAATATATATATATATATATATATATATTTACCACGGAGTATAATTCAATAAATTAAAATATATTATCGAAAAAAAAAATAAAAATTTTAACTAAAAAAATTTCGAGTATAATTCAATAATTATGATATATTTTATTGTTTTAAAAGGTTCGTCCACTTACTAACAAAATAAAAATAATAGTTAAAAGCGAACATAATTTACTAACTGTTGTCATTAATCAAAATATCAAAATTTTGAATTCTAACCTAAAAAAATGGGAATATAATTTCTCGACTAAGACAACTTAATTTTTTTTAAAATGGTTAAGAGATATCACACGTTTTTAAAATACTTAATTTCTCGACATCGTCATTTTCAGTCAAAATCATGACTCTGATATCACAGGTTGTATTTGTCCATATATTTGAATCTTAGAGTAAGAGCATCTTTCAATGACAAATTTACCCTTTTATACATATACATATACATATATATATATATATATATATATATATATATATATATATATATATTGTCACAATTGCATTTTTTATGGCAGCGGACTTGCAATTGTGCGGCACTCACTTTCCAACGACAAGTGAGCTAAGCCAATTCGTTCTTGCGTCGCTTACGACCAAGCGACGTATGCTCAGCCTCTAGCCTCGGTTTTAAGAGAAGGTTTTAGAAAACGAGGGTAGAGAGAGATCTTTGAAAGAGACGTTATACAAGCAAGCAAAAGAGACATAACAACGGTTCTAGCCTCAGTTCTTGCGACGCTTGGGTAGGTATATATATGTATATATATTAGTATTAGAATCTTATATCAAACAAGTGAATTATTTTATAGGATAAATTTTGGTCGAGCTCGACTTTTTTTTTCCAAAATGTTGCTTGAAGATGGAATACAATTAGCTCGTGAAACAAATGCTATAACTAAACTGATGGCTAGTAGTTAATAGACAATGAATGAATATTTTTTTTTTATAATGAATCAGGTCCGTGGGACTCAAATTATTTCACAAAAAGAAACCTAAATGATTTTAAACATGCAATCTAAACTATATAAAATTGCAAACTAATTTAAATCTTAAAATAAATTCCTTAAAATACATTAAATAAACACTATAAATTATCATCCCAAAATTTGTAATCATCTCATAATAAACAAAGCTCTAAAATAAATTGGAATATCATGTGATAATTTAAACGGAACATTTTTATTCACACTTTTTTCGATGTTGATATGATTTTTTTTTTTTGTAATACCCTTTTGGAGGGACGAAAAAGCTCGATTAGCTGAAACATAGTTATCGGTTCAAAGATACGAGGTGGTCGAGAAAGATTCCCTTAGTCACTTTCTTCCTGGTGTCGCTGTATGTGCCTCTTTACTTTGAAGCTGCCCTTTTGTCTTTCTCGTTATTTCTATCGCTTGGTACAAACATTTTTAATCGTGTTGCCATGGCAGTTCTTGGTTTCCTCGCCGTTAATGGAATCCCAGTTCGCCGGCGTTGGGTTTTCCGATGGCCAGAGTGAAGCATATCAGCACCATACTTCCTATACATGACCTGCAACAGAACGAACACCATTAACAGCCTGAATTTGGACGACATGGGTTTGTAATTGAAGAGGAGATTTTAACTTACACAGTGGCAAAGAAGAGAAGAACTTTCTTGGGATCCAAAAACCAGGAAGAAGAAGACCTCCGGAAACTGTTTCTTCTAAACAGAGCTTGTTCATCCGGCGCCGCCGTGCTGCCGGTGGTTATAGTGATTTGATGATGAAATTGTTGAATACCCAGATGGTCTTTTGCAGACCCAACTGCCAATGCCACCTCCGCCACCGTCGCTAATTTTTCCGCCATAGGAGCGGAACTGGTAGCAATCATCATATCGCCGCCACGCTGAGACCCTTTTCGAGATAGATTACTCTGCAACTTTAATTCATTTCCGGGAATCAAAATCCTCTTCAGAAATCGAAAAAGTTCATCAAAATTGCAAAGAAAACTTAAATTTTCTGGGGAAAGAAGCCGAATTCTGTCACGAAATTGAAAGCAAAACAGAGAAAAAAACAGAGCAAAGTCAATGAAAGGAGAAAGATATCAAAATCAAAGCTAAAGAACCCTCACCAATTTGGGATTTTCCATCACTTTCTCGGGAAAGAAAACGAATTGGGCGATAAAAAGAGGCTCTGTTCTTCGTGAAGAATTCCGCAGCTGGGTATTTCAAAACAGGGTATCAGTTTGTGGGTAGAAACAAGAATGGCTGAATATCAAACAAGAACAGAGACAGAAACAGAGTAACCAACCTGGAACTGCAGAATTTGGTTGAAAAATTATCAGAAACTGCTGGATTTGAGAACTGATTTGTTCATATTTATAGACGAAGAGAGATTAATTAATATCAAACGAGATTAAATGGTTGATTATTGGTAATAATCATTATTCAATTAAGTTGAATAATGGCTTGCATCCAATTATATATATAAAAAGAAAGAGACATGTGTGGTTGACATGTGTATATATATTATCGGTGTGTAGAAAAGTCGTATCCGTTAAGTTTATCAATCTCGAGAAGTAAAAATCCGTAATAGATATATAGAGCTTATTGTCGATAAAATAACATAAAAAATGTTGGTTTCAAAAAAACGAGAGAACGAAAGCTGGGTTATATTAAACGAGGTTTACGAGTTACTAGCTTTTTTGGGTTACTTTAATCGAGCTTTACGAGTCACTAGATTTAAACGTTCGCATTAAAAAGTCAAGGACTTAAACGTTCCCATCAAAAGATCGATTCGTTACATCTAACAAACTCGATTATCTTCTAATGATGACTCCAATAATTAATCAAATTTATTATTTTTAACAACAAATGCGAAATAATTATACATATATATATATATATATAAAGAATAACTTAATTATTCACAAATATTTAAAATTTGCTACATTATTATTAGAATTAAAAAATTATTATTAAATTAGTTTTGTATGCTTCATCAAAACACAATATTTTATTTGGTATAAATTTAATATTCTATTAATATTATTTAATAATGATTGAATAATATATTATGTATATAATCAAAAGGGTCAACCCTTGGATGTCCAATCGGTATAGAGTTTGACTTTTTTTGCTAAGCTTCCTCAAGAGAGATTGCTTTAATTGCAATTGAATTAGAAAATTGGCAATTGGTTTTGACTTTGAATAATTATATTAAATAACACAATTAAGAAAAAAAAAATTAGTTAATTAGGCATGAGGTTTAGTTATATTCATATTTAAAACTAAACGTAATAAAAATTAATTAAGATAAGTGAAAGTAATGTGTCAGGTATACTAGAGTGATAGCACGATGTATAGAATTTGATACTCGTCGATATTGGAAGGTAATTAAAAAAAGAAAAATTAATGGTTTTCTCTCTGCTTTTTTTTTTTTTTTTTCAATTTAATGTGTAAGCAGGAGATTGAAATTTTTGACATTTTGAATACCTCTTTCTAGTAGATGTGTTTCAAAACTTTAAGGGGAAGTTCGGATGGGAAAGTCGAAAAAGAATAATATAAGTTAGCGTTGAGCCTGAGCTGTTACAAATGATATTAGAGTCAATCAGTGAATGATGTGAGACATTAATCAAAGTAAGGTTGGACTCTCTCCATAGTAGACGCTAGCAGTGGAGTTGAGCAACGAAAAGTTCAAACAAACAAACAAACAAACGAAAGGAATTATGAGTGTTCATGGATTAAGTTGAATCGAGTGTCTTAGTTGGCATATCGCTCGATGTTTGACTTTGATATCATATGACATAGCCTGAGGCCACTGTTAGTAGATATTGTTCGCTTTAGCCCGTTACATATCGTCGTTAGCCTTAGTTTTAAAACGCGTTTACTAAAGAATGTTTTATTCCCCGTTTCAGAAGAGATGGTGAAAAAAAAAAAGCGAAAAAGTCATTTATAGGATCATGGGAGGGCACATGATGGATGAGAACGTAGGAAATCAAGCCGCATGTCATGGAGATTCATTAGCCTTTTCTCTTGTATTGGGATGATACGACGTCGTATTCCCTAATTTCCTTTTAACTTTAAATTGATTATTCAATCAATTTCTTAAGTTAGAGATTTATAACATTAATCATTGCTATGGGTTTGACTTTTTGAGTCATTTGGATAATGTGAATTGAATTGATTTTGGGACCATTAATAATTCAATGTTTGAGTGGTTCAAGTTAACTGTATGACGAACAATTTGAATATACTTTAACGTCAGTAATCTTATTAGTTATAATATAGAACTTATATTTGTTTAAATTCAATTTCAGTTTATAAATAGCGTTTAATAATCATTTAGACTATGTTTGATAACCATTTGATTTTTCAAATGAAGTTTGTTTCTTATGGTTCATGAACTTGGCTTAGAAACCTCGATCAACCCAACTCAACTCGACCGGTTTGAGTTGGGTTGGATTCAAATACATGAAAATTTTTGTAGATTGAGTTAGTCAAATACATGAAAATACATGAAAATCTTCGAAAAAAGTGAGACAAAAGTGACTCATCTCACTTTATACACCTGGATCTTTAATTATACTAAAAAATGCATCAATTAATTTAGACATTTAGAAATCTCTCCTAGCAAACGCCCTTTAAAAACTTTGAGCCAAAATCCAAAAGTGAAAGCCCAAAGAGGACAATATCTACCGCAGCGGTGAGCTTGAGCACATCTCAAACATTTGGTAACAGTGAACTTGGGCTGTTATAGACATCCTAAACAGAGCTAGAATCCTCCCAACATCTACGGGCGGTGGGCTTGAACGCTTGGGCTTTTACACACATCCCAGATT